CCCCCCCCCCCCAACCCCACCCATGGGCTATTGGAGGGAGGAAGTTGCGCCATCCCCCTTCCTGGGGCAATCTGTGGCCCCAAATCTCTTAAAATCCCTTTTCCTGGGGCAGATTTGGAGCTGCTGCGAGGAGCCAAGGAGTCATTATCCCAGTGCCTGTAGGGAGACGCCGTCTCTCTTCCCCCTCGCCTCCCTGCTCCACTTCCCTGCTCCCCTCGAAGCTTCTCCTGCACTAACAACTTGCAAAACCCTTTCAGAAAATCTCAGACCGTGCAGAGGCCCAGGAAAAGCCGCTGATTTTCCCTTCCCAGGCATCCTTCCCACGGAGGAGCTGGGGCTGGGTTAATATTTGTCTCCTGGCATGGTTTGGGCTCGGAGGGGAGCGACAGAGCTGCTGGGGTCAAAGCTGGGCCCCTCGCCCTCTGCTGCAGGGACAGAGGGAAACACAGTGATAAATCCGGGGAGTAAAGCCGAGCTCCCGGCGCAGGTGGAGGGGAAACCACGGTTCTTTCTTGGCAAGGGGCTGCTGGAGCTGGCGAGCGCCGATGGTCGAGGGTGATACCCCGGGTCTGGAGCGGCCACATGCCTCCGCCGCTGCTGGCGGTGGCCCTTTGGCCAGCATGAGGGTGCTGCCGGGGGCGGGGGTTGGCTGCCCTGCCTCCTCGCACACCAGAGCATCTTGGCAGCTTTCTTCAGCGTTAGGAGTCTGGGCAATAAACCATTTAAAAGCAATCAGCGGGGACTGAAAGGCAAACAGGCCCGAGTGAAAACAAACACGGCCATTCTGGTGTGGAGGTTCGCTCGCCCGAGCCAGCGTCGGCTGCCTGCCAGCATCTCACCCAAGGGCAGTTTCTTTTTTGGCAGAGGGAAGCGTAACTCGGAGTCCACATCAAAGCAGCTGCTGCCAGCACAGAGGCAGCAGGCAGAGTGTCGGCGCGCTCAGCCCGAGCCGGCTGGCTGCCATCCTCACGGGCTTTCCTCCGCAGCCAGAGGAAGCGCCGAGGCCAAGTTTATTTGGGGCTGCTGCCAGGCAGGAGGCTGGAGATAACCAGGTTAATCCCTGGGCAGGGCCTCGGGGCTTCTCCACGGCACCAATTCTGCCGGGCTGCTCGGTGCCGTGCTGGAGCGCGGGGCTGGTTCTGCTCTGCCCTGGAGAAACGTCTCTAAACCAGCTGAGTCTCAGCGTGTGTCCTGTGCTGGGCTCGAGACGGCCGCATGGCATTTCTTCTTTTTTTTGACTTTTTTTTTCCCCCCCCTCTTTTCCAGAATATGCTGAGTTTTTGCACTGCAAATCCAAAAAGTTCACGGATTTTGACGAGGTGCGGCAGGAGATCGAAGCGGAAACCGACAGGGTGACGGGAACGAACAAAGGCATCTCTCCCGTCCCCATCAACCTCCGCGTCTACTCGCCGCACGGTCAGTGAGCTGCTTCTCTGCCCTCTGTGGGTTAAAACACTCTGAAAGAAGGAAAAACAGCGTTCACCTGAGCCGTGGCTGCAGGGTTTAGCGTCTGAAAAGCAAATGCTGGCTGCTACCTGGGTTTGGCTGATTTTAGAGCAGCCTGGGGGGTGACAGGGGATGCCTGGGGGGGATGGGGGGTGCTTGGGCCATCCCTCAAGCAAATCCAGTAGCACCTTTTCCTTCAGAGGGGTGGATCCGTCAGGAGATCTGAAGAGTTCCGGGCCCCTGACCCCGAGCGCCGGTGGTCTCTTGTCCTTTCAGTGTTGAACCTGACTCTGATTGACCTCCCGGGTATCACCAAAGTGCCAGTGGGGGACCAACCGCAGGACATCGAGTACCAGATCAAGGACATGATCCTGCAGTTCATCAGCAGGGAGAGCAGCTTGATCCTCGCCGTCACGCCCGCGAACATGGACCTGGCCAACTCAGACGCCCTCAAGATGGCGAAAGAAGTTGATCCTCAAGGTAAGACGGACGCGTCCTCCTGCCCGTGCTGCTGCTCCAGCCCTGAGACCGCCCCAGCTACAGGGTGGTAAAATCCTTCAGCAACCGTTGCCACAGAGTCTCAGGGATCAGTCACCCGATTGATGCCAGAGGGGCTTCCCATCCCTCCACCTCTCACAGAGGACTCTTGGCCCTCTGGCAGTTGAGGAAGAGCTGGTGGTTCCCCCCGTCGCTGGCGAGTCCACAGTTGTTCTGGTTACGCACCCACGTGCCTCCTTTTGGTGCGTTTTGTGCCGTGTGACTGATCAACGGCTCGTTTATGAGATTAATCGGTTGCTCGTTAGTGAGGTTAATCAGTCGCTTGATCACTCGTTTTTGAGGTTAATTGGTCACTCGGTTGCCTGTTTGTGAGGTTAATCAGTCGCTTGTTTGTGAGGTTAATCGGTCGCTCATTCATGAGATTAATCGGTTGCTTGTTTGTGTGGCCGCTTCAGGCTTGCGGACGATTGGAGTCATCACCAAGCTGGACCTGATGGATGAAGGCACAGACGCCAGAGATGTGCTGGAGAACAAGCTGCTTCCTTTGCGCAGAGGTATGATGAACCACGGAGGCTCTGCCTCGCCCCGTATCCTCCTTCCCACGGCCTTCACCTCTGGTGGCGATTGCAGACGAGCCGAGGGGCAGCTCCTGTGCTCCACGGTGCCTCCCAGGCCCTTCCTGCTGCTCTTTCCTCCGGGAGAAGCGGCTGTGGGTGGCGATGTGGAGCCGCTCAGATGCCTTTTGGCCACGTCTGACTGTAGCAAGAGCCAACACGTCCCCCTGCAGGTTACATTGGCGTGGTGAACCGGAGCCAGAAGGACATCGACGGTAAGAAGGACATCCGGGCAGCGCTGGCGGCCGAGCGCAAGTTCTTCCTCTCCCACCCGGCGTACCGGCACATGGCCGACCGCATGGGCACCCCGCATCTGCAGAAGGTCCTGAACCAGGTGGGCTCAGGTCCCTTCCCCAGCGCTGCGCGGTGCCCGTGTTGATCTCTGCTGGCACAGAGGTGTTCCAGGCGCAGAGGAGGGCGTCTCAGTCCTCTCTGTTCTTTTGCAGCAACTGACCAACCACATTCGGGAGACGCTGCCCTCGCTGCGCAGCAAACTTCAGAGCCAGCTGCTCTCCCTGGAGAAGGAGGTTGAGGAGTACAAGAACTTCCGCCCCGACGACCCCACGCGAAAAACCAAAGCTTTGTTACAGTAGGTTTCAAGGAAGAGCCTTGGGTGAGCGAGTGGTGCTGGTGGGTGGCCCTGCCAGCCCTGCTGGGGCTGAGCCATCGCCTCGGAGAGGTGCCGTGTCCCCCGGCGGCATCTCGGGCCTGCTGCGCCCCGTGTGCTCAACCTGTGTGTCCTAGAGCAAATGGTTTGGTCTTGGGGTTTGAAAGGATGGCAAAAGGGAGATTTTTTGCATCTGCGACTCCAGCAAAAGGAACTGGGAGGATTTCCTGCGGCCCCGAGCAGAGCTGGTCGGGCAGCACTGGCTGTCGGAGGCAGTCTGGGGGTGTCTGTCTGTCCCTTACACCCATTTTAATCCCGTTGCTCCACCGCAGAATGGTCCAGCAGTTCGGTGTGGACTTTGAGAAGCGAATCGAAGGTTCAGGAGACCAGGTGGACACGCTCGAACTCTCTGGGGGTGCCAGAATCAACCGCATTTTTCACGAGAGATTCCCTTTTGAGCTAGTGAAGGTAAAGCTGGCCCGGGGAGTGCCTGTGCTGCGGCGGGGGGGTAGAAAAATCTCAAGATTTGAGATCAATAAATGTGAGAGAACGAGCCAGTCTGGGCAGGAGCGAGCGCAGGCTCTGAGCCTGCCTGGGCCGGGGATGCTGCTGGGTCGTGCAAGAGAAGGGCTGCGGTGGGAGCTTGACAGTTCCTGGGCCATAAAGATCTCACCGTGGCTTTTCTCCCCATTCAGATGGAGTTTGACGAGAAGGATTTGAGGCGAGAAATAAGCTACGCGATTAAAAACATCCACGGTGTCAGGCAAGTACGGGAGCGGCGCGGGCGCGGATCCTGCTCTCCTTAGAGATCAGTCAGGCGGCTCCGCAGGGTGCGGGGTGCACCCTGTGAGGGAGAGGCGATACCTGTCGCCATCCGCTCATCGTCTGTTGGCTTGTGGAGACCAGCGTTGCCTGAAAATGGATGGTCACTGCTTTTTAGAGGGCGTCAATGGGGTGACTCGGCCCCCCCCGCACTGCCTTGGTTAGCAGGGTTGGGTTTGCCCCGAGGAACACGGGGGAAGCTGCGACAGATTTCGATCTGAAAAATTTTCCCTTGTGCCTTCAGTTTGGTCACTAAAATAACCTTCATCTTTCCTCTTACATCCTGGTAAGCGGGGGAAGGAATAACCGTGAGGGCAAGGTAGGGGCTGTGAGTTAAACCCCCGTGCTCAGGGGGGGGATCCAGCTCCCCCTGAGTCCCCAAACGGGGGGATCACGAACCCCGACGCGGCGTTCAGTGCGAGTCCTCTCCCTGGCTTTTCCTGGTGCTGCGATGGGAAAAGAGGATTGTAGGGTGTAACACTCCCCCGGGAGGTGCGTGACCCACTCGTGGTGTATCCGTTGTCCCCAACCCCCCCCAAAAGGGTGAATTCCCGTTTCCCCGCGGCGCTGGTGCGCCCGGGCTCTCACTCCCGTTCACGGCGGGGAAGCGGCACCCTCATTCGAGGGGTTGGAGGGTGCTGCCACGAGCTGGGAGGGGGGCGTGCGCACCCCTGTCGCCTCTGAGGGGTTGTGGCAGCCCCAAGGGTGGGGGGAAAAGCGGGGTTCAGCGATGCCGCAGATCCAGCAGCGGGGCGCCCCCCCCCCGCTCACGGCGCTTGGGGACGGAGTCGCTCTCCAGGATGCAGCCGATCGCCTCCAAACCTGACCAACCCATTTTGTTTTTGTCTCTGCCATGTCTCTGCCCTCTCGGCCCCCCCCTCCCCGCCTGCGGATTCCTGTAGGACGGGGCTCTTCACCCCAGATTTGGCATTCGAGGCCATTGTGAAAAAGCAGGTGGTGAAGCTGAAAGAGCCTTGTCTGAAGTGTGTCGACCTCGTTATTCAGGAGTTAATCAATACAGTTAGACAGTGTACCAGTAAGGTATTGAACTGGCTGGAGGCCATCCAGCCCCTTCCTGCCAGTGGGACGGGGAAGCGGGAGCGATGCTCTGACCTGCCTGCCTTGCCTGGTTTCCCCTCCAAAAATAAAATAAAAATTAAAAAATCTGGGAGCCACCTAAACAAATTGGATATTTCTAAGCTGTGACCCGTGTCTCATAGCCTGGAGCCCTCCCTGTTGCTGAGGGGATTGCCTGAGGGTGGGTCTCCCAGAAAGTCACCCGGAGCCTCCTGGGCATCCCGATGGACAGAGTCGGGGTTTCGGGGGGTCCTGCCGAGGCTTTGGTCCCACCCGGAGCCGGGCAGGCGGGCGGGGGCAGCTCCTGCATCCTGGTACCTCTCGTAGCACGTGGGTGTTCTCGAGCTCTGGTTTTAAACTGCTGCTTCGCCGCACTCTGGGAATCCCGGGAACATCCAACAAAAGCCGGGGACAGCGGTTCCAGCGAGCCTCTAAATCCTGCAGCTCCGTGTCTGCCGTTAATCGGCTGCTTGATAACAAGCACGTTTCCACTTCAAAAAGGTCATTTCCTCCCCTGAATTGTGCTTTTTCCGTGGAAGTGTTAATTACCCTGAAGCTGGATAAACGGGCCGTTTCCATATTTAATAACCGGCTTCTCAGCATCACTTTATTTTTTAACCTTGTTCTGGCAGCACCGAAAGAAATGCCTTAAACTGAGCAGAGGGAAAACCAGCTCCTCTCTCCTTCCAACGCTTCTGTTATTTAAAAAAAAATTAATAAATTGAGCTACATATAGGTGAGAACATGGAAGCATCCGCGGCCTTTGGTACCCAGAGTGCTTGTGCGGAGCAGGACAGTTTAAACCCTGCCCTGGTTTCGTAGGCGGTCGGACCGCTGGGGGTTCGCTGGTGGGTCAGGATTTCTCTGCTCTCCCTCGTTTCTGGCGTTGTTGTCTGTGCTGTGGGTACCGTGGAGAAGCCAGCGCTTCCTGCTGAAATTCCTTCCGTCTCAAAACAGCCAGGGAGGCTCGAACCGTAAAGCTGAGCTGAAATTCAGTGTGTTCCTAGAGCTGGGGCTCAGTTATCCGGCCTAGCGAGCAGTCAGGAGCCTCTCTGGGGTTTTTGCTGTGCCCTGTCAGCGCACAGAGGAGAGGCCCCCCCCGGTCAGTGAAACATCCCCCGGAGCCGCAGGGGATTTGGTGTGAGGCACCCGAGCACCCCAGCAGCTCCCGAAGGAATTTCTCAGGCAGGCGTTGCCGCTTTTCCCTTTGCACGTTACTAACCTGAATTTTCAAACAAACAAAAAAAAATCTCATTTTTTTCTTTTCTTTTCTGTCTTTGTGGCTATTTTCCCGCCCCCTGCACGCCGCTCGGTGTTTGGCTCTCGCGCTCTGCACGGTGCAGGACGGGGCTCTTCACGCCCGACATGGCCTTTGAAGCCATAGTGAAAAAACAGATTGTAAAGCTTAAAGAGCCCAGTTTGAAGTGTGTTGATCTGGTGGTCTCAGAGCTGGCCACGGTCATTAAAAAGTGTGCCGAAAAGGTAACGGGTCTTAATTCATCCCTTTTTGCTTAATCTGAAAACATCTGGAATATATTCGCTCCCAGGACCCAGCCGACCAAAGAGAGTTCAGCCACGAGGTTGTCACTGATTTTGGGGGACGCCCAAAATTCTCAATTATCAGACAAGCCGGCAAATAGAAGGCGTAGCGTTGGCTCGGCTTCGCGGCACAGGTCCTGCCGAGACATATTGCCCAGGTGTTTGCTCGCCCCCGTAACAGCCGAGGCCACGAACGCTCCTCGCGTGGCCGAGATCCCACCTGCTCTGCCTGGCTTAGCCGTAGCTCCCGCCTTGCGCCAGATCCGCTCAGCCCTGGGGTCTGGGGGCGGGAAAAAAACAAAACAAAACAAAATCTGGGTGAAGGTGTTGGCCGTTGCTTCGAAGGCCCCCGGGAAGGGGATTTTCCGCTCATCAAGTGAAGAGAATCGAGTCTGTCGCTTCTTTTCCCCGCCCTGAGCCCCGGTTGTGTGGTCCCGGCAGAACCGGGGCTCAGTCCCGTCCCCGCTCCTTCCCTTTCGTGAGCGTCTCCTGTCGCTGCTTTTCCGCGCCGGGCGCTGGAGGCTGCCACGGTCCCATCAGCAGCGTTTTTTTTTTCCCCGGCCTTCTCCCTTTCTTTTCAGCTTGGTTCCTACCCCAGGTTACGGGAAGAGACGGAGAGGATCGTTACCACTCACATCAGGGAACGGGAAGGCAAAACGAAGGACCAGGTGAGCTCCTTGCGGCTGGGGAGCGGGGGGAATGCCCAGCTCAGGCCCTGGCCACGCTCAGACACCCCCCCCGGTGCCATCCCAACGCTCCCTCTCGCCATGGCAGCTCCCGCGTGGGCCCCGGGCGAGCTGGGACGTGTGGGGGCTCCTCTAACACACACCTCTCCTCCAGATCCTCCTGCTGATCGACATTGAGCTCTCGTACATCAACACTAACCACGAAGACTTCATTGGATTTGCCAAGTGAGTCGCTTATGGGCGGGCTGGGTCCTCAAACTCTCTAGAAACGAGGTTGGCGGTCCTGTCCCCATGCAGGACTGCGGGTTACGTCACCCTTCCGGGGTCAGCGACGGGAAATCTGGTGGAGGAATCTCCCACATCCCAACGTAATTCACCAAAATCCGTGTCGGCACCGTTTGCGCCCCAGTTCTCTCAGATCTGGGACGCGGGAGCTCTGCTTCTCTCCTTGCCACCCGGCCGCTGTTTGAGGGCCCGCAGGGCCGAGCTGCCCCACGATAGCCCGAAGCCGGGGTTGTTAACGCCGCCCGTTGGGCAGAGAAGAGCTGGAGCGGGGCGGTTCAGCCTCAGACAGATGAGCTGCTCAGGGCCCGCTGGCAGGAATTCGGGTCGTTAAGGCCATTGCTGCCCTTCAGCAGAGCCTGGGAACTCCCCGTGTCCCCCGGGCGTCCTGAGGGCAGGGGAAACCGCTCACCCGTGGGAGCTGTCGGTCGGGAGCAGAAATATCTCCCCATCTTGGAGCTTCTCCCCCGTGATCCTCTGCCCGGGCAGGACAGGCCAGGACCGGAGCGGGGCTCTCCCCTTAGTCTGTCCCCCTTCAGCTTGGGCTTTCGGCCGGAGGCTGGCGAGCACTCTCAGCCAGAGGCTGGCCAGCGTTTTTGGCCAGGGAATGGCCAGCGTTTTCCATCGGCGCAGCCCCAAACCAGGCAATAACTTCAGAAGCACCTGGAGCTCCAGCTCAGGTGTCCCCGCACAGAAGGAGCGGAGGCGTCACCGTCCTCGCCAGCCAGCGCCCATGCCTCCTCCTCCTCTTTAAAGTCACAAAACCTTCCTCTTGTTTTCTTTTTCCTCCTCTTTTTTTTTATCTCTCTGCTTTTCACCTTCATTCACAGTTCCTTCCTCTTCTCCTAATCTCTCCTGTTTTTCCTTTGAACCATCATCTCCCTCTTTCCTCCGGACTCCTCTGAAACTCTCCCACTCCCCAGCTGTTACACTGAGCAGCACGTCGCGACAGGGTGGGTACCCGCTCCAGCAGCATGTCCTGGGGCGGCCGGGGCAGCCCCGCTTGCGCCCTCCCCTCCCCGCAGCCCCCAGGAGATGTTTGATGGGAGCTGGAGACGCTTTTGCTCCAAGCTCAGCTTGTGGTTTTGTGCTTGCAGTGGAGCTCAGCCAACGGGAGAGCTTCCTGCTCCCCTCCGGGATGCCACGACGCTCGGGCCGGCTCGGGCCGGGCTCACCTGGTGTCCCCGAGGGTTTGTAGGGAAGAACCATGAGGATCAGGGCAGGCAGAGAGGGATCCCCCCAGCTCCCCTGGCCAGGGGCAGGGTGGCCAGGGACACCCCGGGTCAGGTGCCATCCCGCAGTCACCTTCCCCAGGGAAAGGACCCGGTTTGTGCTTGTAAACTGCTGCTCCAGGGGGGTGTCCCGGCGTAATTCTAACTGTTTTCATGGATTTTGTTCCTGCTCCTGACTAACGGTTACGTCCTGCACCTCGCCCCTCGTCTCTTGGGTTGCTCAGGAGAGACAGGTAGCTTTCCCTCTGGTGCAGGTATGCTCTTTTCCAACCTGGGGGGGGCGGAAACGAGGAGGCTGCAGGTCTTTCTGGAGACGAGTCCTTCTGGTTCTTGGCCTCACGGTGGTAGGGGCGCATTGGCTCAGCTGGGGTCACGGACAGAAATCCCTTTTGAATCAGCAACCGCGGCTTGGTGTTTTCCTCTCCTGGCCCCTCCGGAGCGGGCAGGCTTGTAAACGCCTGGAGACACGGACTGGAAGGAAGGAGATTAAAAGCCCTCCGGGTCGGAAACCCCATCCCGCTCCCTCGGCACTGCCGTCTCCTTGGACGTTCAGGCCTGGGCAAAACGTGGGAAGGGGCTCGGCTGTCTGGGCCGCAGCGTGCTGCCAGCACAGAGCCTGGGGGGTCTTGGCTGGATTCTCCGTGTCGGGCTTCCCCTCCGGACTCAGCTCTTCCTTACGGCCTTCCGGGTGGGCAGCGTGTCGTGGCCGCGGGGGCTCTGAGCGCTCATCGCTTTGCTTCCCTTTCCCGGCCTAAAACTGCTCTTTCCCTTCTTCCAGCGCGCAGCAAAGGAACACCCAGACCAACAAGAAAAGAGCCATCCCCAATCAGGTACGGCCGCCGGCGCCCCGGCCCTCCCTCGTCGCGTGGGGCAGAGGGAGCTCTCTGGGATATCCCCACCCCGAGCGGAGCCACCCGGAGCTGCGTTTTGCACCTCAGAAATGGGGATTTCAGTCAATCCATAAACTTCTTTTTTTTGGGGGGGGGGATATTTCACACTGGGGCTGGAGATGGGGAAAGACGGGAGCGTTTGCTCCGCGGGAGCTTGTCTAAAAACAGGATTCGAGTGGATCCCCCGAATCCTTCTGTGAGGGATAGTTCCCGTTGGGGCTGGGAAGGACGGAGCTCCGGCTCATGCAGCAGGAGCGTTTGTTCGCGGGAGCTCATCGGAAAAGCAGCCGGGACGCTGCTGGGGGAGCCCCGACGCGGGGCAAGGTCTGGCCTAACTGGCCCGGTTCGGCCCCTGTGGATCCAGCCCAGCCCTGGGGGTGGGTGGGGAGGGAGCGGGGGCTCAGCGGGGCGCAGGGACGTGCCCGGCAGCCGCGTCCGCCTCGGTTCTGGCTCATCCTGCAGCCTCCCGCTTCTGGAGGGGGTTTGCTGCCCCGTGTGCGTGGCCGAGCCGCCCTGAAGTGCCCCTTTGCATGGTGTTAGGTCTTGCAGTACCTAACGCAGACATTGCCTCTTGTTTGGAAAGAATGTGATGAAATATTAACACTGTAAAATTATAATTAATAGCATGTAACTGTTTTTCTTTTGCTGTTTTTCTGCTTTTTTCCTACCATTTTTGTGCTTCCTGCTCTCTTCTCCCTTCCATCACTTTGTTTTTCTTCACTGTTCTGTCTCCTCGTCCTGCTTTTTTTTTTTCCCCCCTTAATTTTGCGCACCTAAAGGGTGAGATACTGGTAAGTACCCACATAGTGTGATAGTGCTGGTGGACGACACCCAGTGATGGACGTGGCCCTGCCAGAAAAACCTCCCAACCCCCAAACGCTGCCTCTCGCTCCCCAGAATTGAGTGTGCTGAGGGCAGAGGAAGGATGGGATCCCCCGAGGGGAGCAACGGGGCTCCAGGGGTTTAGTCTAGAGATAGAAATCCAGTCTGACCCCTTCGTCCCCATGCCTGGGCTCTTCCGTGGCCAAAAAAAAAAACCCCAGGGCTTGAGGCTGATCCCTGCCTGCACCCCGGCTGTGGGGCTGTTGGTGCTGCCTCTCCTCACTGGGAACAGGGAAGCTGGATGCTGGGGTTCAGGGTGTGAGCCCTGGTTTTGCTGGAAGCAAGAAGCCCGAAATCTGTGGGTTTTAGCGCGGAGCTGCCGTGGTGGGACGTGGCGAGAAGCTGGTCCCTGGCCAGGGTGGTCCCTCCGCCCGCATTGTGGGGAGGCAGCAGGGCTGGAGGCGCGTTCTCTCCCCCGAGCTGCCTTTTTGGGGGGTTGGGTCCTGACCTTGGGCCGCTGCCAGCGGATTTACCAATGCTGGCCACCGTCTTGGAACGTAGAAATCCGGGCAAGGAGCCCTCTTCTTCGAGGTGCTGCAGCTCCCAGGTGTTAGCAGCCGGGGGAGCCAAACTCTGGGAGCCTGTTGGCCGCTTGGAGCCTGGTTATCCAGCCAGCAGAGCTTTTCCTCAGGCACACTCACTCCTGGGGGGGCACAGGGCAGCGTTTCCTCCGAAGGGAAGAGAATCTCCCTGTCTAGGGGTGGAGGGGGGGGGTCGTGGCCCTGCTGCTCCAGGCTTGGAGCCGAGCATCACGCTGCCGGTCTGAGAAAATGGAAGTGTCTGAGAGGGAATTAATCTCCAGTCCCCCAGTTGGGGCTTTTACAGCCTCGTGGAGAGTGGCTCAGGTGTTGCCTTGGTCTTCAGCACCCAAGTGTCTCCCCAGAGAAGGGAAATCATTTGGCTCCTGGTGGTGGGTAAAGCCGGGGAGCCGGCTGTGGGGGGAGTTCCTGGAGTCGGTGGCTTCGCAGTCCCACGGACACACGGCTGTGGCTCGGGCGCTGTGTGCTTTTTTTCTCAAAAACGGGTTTTAGGAGGCAGCAGGAGGGACGTGGGGGCGAGGCCATGCCCATCCCGCTTGTCCCAGGGAGGTTTGTACCTTCTGCCCGGGGCCAGGCCGCGGCGCCGGCGGCCTGGGAGAGCCCCGGGCCCCTTTCCCATCTCTTGCAGCTGTTCAGACACTTCCATTTTCTTTTAGTACCGTCCAGATGTTGCTGCTAAAACAAAGGGAGCGCCAACCCGCCCCGCCCCGGGCCTGTCTCTTGCCTCCCACCCGCTGATTTCTGTGCAGGGCCGCTCTCCCATCGCTGGCTGGGGGACGGGATTGTGCCAGGTGACGGGAAGGTGGAGAGCTGACAATTAAGGATTGAAGCGCCAGCCCGGGGCCGGGTGGCTTCTGATTTGGACCAGGCCGAGCTCCGAGAGCGCCGGAGCCCCTCCACAGAGGAGCTTGCCCGGCTCCCGAGCCCAAAAACCAGCGGTGCTCTCCTCAGTTTCAGTCGGTCTTAAAGGAACTTTCTTCTGGGCTCTCTGCTGTGCTGCTCAGTGCCAGGCACTGTGGCTCAGCCTTCCTCTCTCCTCCTCCTCCTGCATTTGGGGACAGAGGAGGAGGCGTCCTGGGTCCTGCCTCGCTCCAGCGTGCAGCTGAGGTGCCTGGTTCTGCAGGTGCCCTCCCCTCCTCTACCCTTTAACAACAGAAATCAAAGCTTGGCTTTGTGCTGACGCTCCAGCTCCAGCCTTGGATCTCTCCTGAGAGATCTCGGATCTGCCCTAAAAGCAGATTCCCTGTCCCTTATTCCCTCCAGACCTGTCCCAGCACCTGCCAGAGCCTCCAGCCCTGCTCGCAGGACTCGCTTCGCTGCTGGACCTTTTCCCTCTGCCCTTTCCTTGCCCCTAATCCCTTCGACTGCTCCATCTCCTGCCTCTGTTCCTTTAAAACCAGGCTCGGTTCAAATTCAGAGATGGTTTCTAAATGGGAATCGGGGGAGGGGGGGGCTCAAACCTGCCAGAGCCAGTCGGGTGAAATCTTTAATCTGACAACCTCTGCCATCTTAATTTCAGGGCTCCTTCCTTCCCCTCGCCAGAAAAATCTGTATGAGTTAAGTTTTAGCTCTAGCTGCCTGTGCCCGCCGGCGCACCGAGCTTTGCCTGTGCCTAACACGGTGGATTTTGTCGTGGTTTTTACGCTGGCAGCCGCCTGAGCAGCCTGCAAACGAGCACAGCCCCAGCCCCAGCCCGCAGTGGGTTCCCCCAGCAGCAGCCTCGGTGTGAAAGGGCTGGCACCGGCTCTGCACCCTTAGTCCCGGTGTTGAGACTAAAGCCCTGCCTTGGTCTCGGGCGCAGCTGCTCGGGGCTGGTTCCCGTACAAACCGTAACAAACTCCGCATCTTGCTCGTGTCTAACTCTTCTCTGCTTAACCGCGAGGGTTGTTCGTCCTCCCTCCCATCCATGCTTTGGACTGACCCCAATCAACGCCCCCCCCGGTGCATTTTCCCCACGTCTGCCCATGAACTAACCCGTGTGGTGGTACTAACCCCTGGCAAGCGCTGGCCTGCAGAAGCCGCGGGGCCGGGGCACCGGCTCTGCCGAGTCCCTCCCGTAGGGCCCCTCAAGTGTCCCGTAACGTGGGACACGGCTCCCGCAGCGGGGACACGCGTGGGGGTGCTGAACGGGGAGGGGGTTCATTTGTGCTGCTCCTGGCTCAGCCGGACTCTCCCTAAATCCGTCAGGTCCTCACCGGGGAGTTTTTCGGGCTCTGGCAGCGGTCGGTGTTGCTGCTTGCCCCGGGGAGGTCTGGCCCCCTCGCTGCCTCCTGGAGCAGCCGCTGTCCCAGGATGGGGTGTCATGGCAGAAGCAGCCGCGTTGGGGGACCCTCCGTCCCCCCTCGTTCCCGGGGAGCGGGTCGCTTGCGGGCAGACCGGCGTCCGGAAGCGTGGTCCGGCCACGCGGCTCACGGAGCAGAACCACGGGGGGAATGGTGTGAAACGCTGTGGCCCCGGGAGGATGAGGGACCCTGAGCTCAGCCTAAAGGCCTCTGGGGGCTGGGCTGGGCCGGGCTGGGCTGCCGTGACCTTCCTCTGGGTACAGTAACTCCCAGAACAATGGAGGAGCGTGAGCCCGCCTGCCTTTGAAACACTTTGGAATCTCCCAGTTTGCCCCGGAGATGGTGGCCGTGCCGCCTGTGGAAGGCAGCCTGTCTCGGGGGGGAGGCCAGGCAGGGTCTAACCCTCTCCTCAGCTCGCTAGGCCCGGCCCAGCCCTGGATGGTCCGGACTTACAGCTCTGAGCGATCCTGGCACGTCCCCTGGCTCTCGTGGCCACCAGCGGTTTGTGGGTGACTCGGGATGTTTCCCGGTGGGGCTTTGCTGCTGCTGAGGTGCTCCCAGCGATGGTGGAAGTTGTTCCACGAGGATTTTTGTCTCAGGGAAGCCCTTACAGGCGCGGGGGATGCTTCTTGGCAGCAGTCGGGTGGTTCCCCTCAAGCTCCGGTGGTGCCGAGACAGGCGCGGGCTGGTGTTGTGAGGGCTCGGCTGGGCGGTGGCTGCATTGTGCCAGCGTCCTCGCTGCCGGCCGTTGGCTCCCTGGGCCGGTTGCGGACTCCTGCCTGCTCCGGGCAGCGCGGTCCCTCATGCACCGTGTCATTAAAAACCGCCACTTGCAACGTCAGGCTTCGGCAATCTCGCTTCAGCGCGCTGCTGCCCCGATTGCTGGCGGCTACTGCTCCGTGTCGCGTGTCAGGTCTGTCCATGGGCTGCCAGGGAGCCTTTCCCCAGTGGCTACGAGCCGGCTAGTCCTGCCAGGGAGCGGGTTTTGGGTGAGAAACACGGGATTCCTCGGTTGTAGTGAGGCTGAGGGCTGCCTTGGTTGTGCTCAGCGAGGGCACGTGCTCGCGGAGACCCTGAGCGGAGCAGGGATGGGCAGAGCTGCTCTGGTAGCCGCTGTGCTGGGTAAGTTGCTCCTTTCTCCTGGGGTCGTGCCCCAGCCGAGGGGGCTCGGTTGGTCTCCGCAGACTTTTCCATGCCACGATGGCAGGCGGCACGTTGGCAGCTTCAAAACGGCTGGGACAGGGGCAGAGATTTGCTTTTGTGGGGCTCCCGGCACCGCCGCACTGCAGGACACCCCAAAACAGCCCTCGGGGCAGCTCCGCGCCTCTCTTAAACCTGAGAATCTGCCTCATCGCGCCGGGGCACCGGAGCTTCTGCTCCCCACTCCCTCTCCTGCCCGGGCTGCTGCTGGCTGCCCCCGTGGAGTTACCGCGGCGCCGGGTCTGGGTCTGACCGTGCCGCCGGCCTGGCCGGGGCCTCGCTGCTTTTCTCGCTGCGGGAGCTGGGAGAGCTCCAGGCGTCCCCCCCGCCCCTGCTGCTGCCTTTGAGAGGGGGGCTCTGGAAATCCGCCTGGGCGAGGGTCTGCTGAGGCTTTCTGTGAAGGTTCGAGGTGGGCTTCTGAGCTGAGGGGCACTTGGCCTTGCTCTCCGTCAGGGGATATGCCCCGGGGACCCCACGGTAGCCTGTAACCTCGTCTTCCTTCCTCCCCCTGCCCCCCCCCCACCGCTCCTCTGCCTCCAGGTGATCCGCAGGGGCTGGCTGACCATCAACAACATCAGCATCATGAAGGGAGGCTCCAAGGAGTACTGGTTCGTGCTGACGGCCGAGTCGTTGTCCTGGTACAAGGATGAGGAGGTACGTGCACCGAGGGGGGCGGGAGGGGG